ATGGGCATCAAAACAAAACATAGACCAGAGGTCCACTTACCATATAATTCAACAGAGCAGGCCTCACTACAAAAAAGAATGGCTTGTTAAAAACCCAATTACATGCACTGTCCCAATTCCATGCATTGTTTGTAACCCAATTACATACTTAAATCCCTGGACTAAGAATCTCCCTGAAGTCATACGAAGGTTAGATGAGTCACCCACTACCATACATGGCATCATTTCCTGTGACTGGTTGGCATGACCTGTGAAACAGGTCCCATAAACTCTCAGGGTTAGCTCTGAGTCACTGAGTCATGCTCCTGAAGCAGGTGGTCAGACCATGCTCCTGAGAGCACCAATGGATCTGCTAAGCATAGATGGCTATGTAGACCTGAAGTTGAGCTGGACAGTGCCTCCAAACTGGATCAGCTTTATGGCATTGGAGGGTGCCATGAAGACTGCTGGAGGGGAGGTGGTCACAGCTGTGCTCCTTGATGGGTGTCTGAGAGCCTTATGATACTAACACGCAGCAGCACCAATACTTGCTGGAGCGACCACAGGGCAGGCAGTATGGGCAAGGCTGGAAACTTACTAATTGGCTAGTATGCCTGCTCCTAAAAGGGAAGTCATGTGTGGTACTGTAAGCCAGGCCTGAAGCCCATGGTGGCCTCTCTAATAAGGCCCATGAAAAAAATATAGTGGTAATAATGTTACAAGAAATGGATACACCCATAAGGGTCCTTATCAAACACCTGTGTTCACATCCATAGGCTGTTCCTACTAACCGTGACAGCTGATAATGCCTTCCTGGACTGGGCTGACTATAACAGCAGCCAGCAACCAGTCTGATTGTTGCATATATGGATACCTCCCTGCTGTCAAATAATAATAATACGCCTTGAAATACTCTGCCTTTCTCCCAGTGGAACTAGAGTGACTGATTCAACAGAACCAGTAATGCACCTTGGGCTCACTAGGGATTGTGTCCATCTGGAGGCCCAATTGCCAAAGTGATGGAGACCCAGCAACATATGCGTTTATGAGCACTACCTGTTGAGCCTATATCCTTGATAAAGAGAATAATGCTTTTTTTTTTTTTTTTTTTGACTGTCACCCAGGCTAGAGTGCAATGGCGGGATCTTGGCTCACTGCAACTTCCGCCTCCTGGGTTCAAGCAAGTGTCCTGCCTCAGCCTCTGGGCGCATGTGACACTGCGCCCAGCTAATTTTTTGTGTTTTTAGTAGAGACGGCGTTTCACCATGTCACCCAGGCTGGTCTCAAACTCCTGAGCTCTGGCAATCCACCTGCCTCAGCTTCCCAAAGTACTGGGATTACAGGCATGAGCCACTGTGCCCGGCCCACAAATGATTTTAAATAGTTTGTCAACTGAGATCCATGATAAAACCCAATTCAATTTATTTACCTCATTCTCAAATTGGTTATACACCTTACCTACTCATTGGAGTTATGTTTTGCTGATAGGCATGATAACTGTAGTTAACTTCTGCTTTTGATACTGTTGTGCATACTGTGGATGTGACTTGTACACACAAGCCAATGCTATACGGTTTCTTTCCCTCATACCCCACTCAGAGACTCTGGTTCAAGATTGGCAGAAAAAATGTAAGAGTTGAGGGACAGGATGGATTGTAGTGTGATGTGTCCCCCATCAGGTTACTTAAGGGTGTATGTCTGCTGCCTGAACCTGAAGGCTGGGCAGTGAGTCAAGGTCATGGTGTGCAGCTGAGGAGCAGGTGTCTGAGAACCCAAACATCCCAGGGCACAGCTGGGAACATACCAAGGAAAACAGTCTCATCACACACATGGAAGGCGAAGAGCCAGAAAATTAGCTGAGAAGCAGCTTAGAACTGGGTGGTGGTGCAGATCTCTATAGCTGTCCTGCCACTGCCCAGGAGCGTCCTGTATATCGGTCCTAATAAACTCATCTACTTATCAAGCTGGACTTGTGAGAGTCATTCTCTGGTATCTTGACTCCTTCCCAGTTTAGGGAAGGGATATTACAATCCCGGGTTTTTCTTATAACATTGCTCCTGGTGACCACCTCACTATGAGACAGCTGGATCCAGCCTACTTGACTAGCCCCACTGACCCCCTGGACTATGCAGTTATGCCATAGTGACCACGTTACAGCCACAGCATGACTCCCTAGAACTGCGTCTGCTTACTTTAAACTCACCAAGTAGAACTCCCTGTGGGAAATGTGCCTGGGTAATGCCCTGGACCCCAGCAAAGGCTTCAGCCCACAGGACCCTCACATGCACCCTCTCTCTGTCTTTCTTGCTCTTGTTCTCCACCTGCAGTCTGAGTGTGCAAGTCCCAGACAGCTTTCCTCTTCCTGTTGGCCCTGTGAGGCATGCTGCCTTCCTCTCTGAGAGAAGTAATAAAAACTACTTCTGTTACCTGTGTGTTCTTGCAAAAGATAATAAAATAATAAGAGTGGGAAAAACCCTACCTCTGTTATTTCAAGTGTTTTCTTGTGCTGTCTCCTCTGTCTCCCCTGACTGGCACACTTGACCCAACACTCCTCTCGGTCAGGGCTCTCCTAGAAGGAGTAACTGGACACAGGTCACCTAAGAGCCAACAGGGCATCTACTGGAATAAACATGTTTCCTGTGAGGGGGACCCTGGTCACAAGTTGGACACATAGGCAGGAGGCATCCTTCGGGATGAGGCAGCATCCTCAGAAAGGCACATTGTCCACAACCAGCCCCGCTTCCCCTGGTCGCGCTGGGGCGGGGCGAGGGTTGCCACTCTCTTGGGAGAAATCTCAAGACAAAACTGGAGGAAAATACAAGGGCCTCAGATAAAATTAGTTTAGCCAGTTTTAAAGATATTGACATTTTCTTTTTCTTTTTCTTTTTTTCTTTTTTAAAGATGGGGTCTCAGCCGGGCATGGTGGCTCATGCCTGTAATCCCAGCACTTTGGGAGGTCGAGGCAGGTGGATCACCTGAGATCAGGAGTTCAAGACCAGCCTGGCCAATATGGTGAAACCCCCTCCTACTAAAAATACAAAAATTAGCCAGGCATTGTGGCACATGCCTGTAATCCCAGCTGCTCAGGAGGCTGAGGCAGGAGAATTGCTTGAACTCAGGAGGTGGAGGTTGCAGTGAGCCAAATTCGCAATGCACTTCAGCCTAGGTGACAAGAGTGAAACTGTCTCAAAAAAAAAAAAAAAAAAAAAGACGGAGGTTTCGCCGTTTTGCCCAGGCTGGTCTAGAACTTCTCAGCTCAAATGATCCACCCACTTTGGCTTCCCAAAATGCTAGGATTAGAAGCTCGAACCCCCCTGCCTGGCCGATATTGGCATTTTCCTATTGTGATGTGAGAAGAGAAAAATCTGTGTTGCCACCATTTATTATTACTTTCTTTTTTTTTTTTTTTGCAAAAAAGTATTTAAAGTTGCTAGAAAGGTAATAAAAAATAATAAAAATTGTCTACATGGTATAAATCCCCTTGGGCATTAAATTCTTGTTGATATTACTTGTATGCTGAGTACCCTAAAAGTGTGAAGTAAAAACATAAAAAAGTGTTTTCTCCAATACCTGTCTCTCAAATAAGATATATTAGATCACATTTCCCACTGGGGAGTGGCATCCTGAATGCCACTCTGGCCGTACTCCATACCTTAGCCTCCAGGGTCAGATATCAGAACCCTCATTCTAGTATGTAAAGTTCACACCCTGTTTTTTGGTTTTCATTTTTTATTTTTAAACTTCAAAGCAATTTTTCTTTCCTCCTCCGGGGCAGACCAGAACAGTGGGTGATTTGCCTCCTTCCATTCTCCTGGGAAAGTGAAAAGTGGAGAAGAGAATGTTTAAATTGTTGCCTGCTGGGGACACATTGCACTCCTCAATTTGGGTGGTAGCAACCGCTGTTGGAATTCGTTATCTGTGGGTCCAGTAAGGTTGTATGATGTTCTGATGTCCCACGGTGAGGAATTATTCTCTGTAATTCTCTTGGGCTTTGCAGTCCTTGAACAGCTTTGTTCTTCTCTTCTGGGGTCACCATGCCGAGTTCTCTGATGTATAAGGTGGTCCAGGCAAGTCTGTAGCTGCAGTGTCTACTTTTTGAGGCCAAAACCTTAAGCCATCAGACACTGGGGGATCTATTCCATATCTCCTAGGAGGCTGACTGGCATTTCTTCACCACATGGTCTCTCTTTACTATTCTTTTCCACTGCTACAGTACCCAGGAAAACTTCTCCAAGTCCGTGGTAAGCAGACATCCACCCAGAGTGAAAATGCTGGTCTCCTCTTCTAGCGTAGGCCTCCAGTCCTCACAAGGGACTCCCTGAGGTCCTCCTCCCTGGTCAAAGGGAGGGAAGCTCCCTTTGAGGGAAGAGTAAGAACAGTTTCTTCAGCCACCTCTGGTCCCTGGGTCTGGTCTCTCTTTCTGTGGATGAGGGTAGCAGGAGGGGATTCTGGGAGGGGGTGCTTGGTGGTGGGAACCATTCTCTTATCATCTTCGTGAGAGAAGTGAGACAGGGCTGGCCTAGGCAGCGATCTGAACTTAGAATGTGAGACCTTAGCAGCAATTCCAGAGCAATGGCAACACACATTCTTATTAAACAAGTTAGCTTTATAGTGATGGCTTATTTCATATCTGGGTTGCTAGAGCCTCCAGGTAACACAATAGAAGGAATGTGCTTAGACAGCCCAGAGCATCAGTCCACATTTTCAGTTAGAAAGCAATGAATGTATGTGAACCAGGTTGCTACATCAACTCCTGTCTAGGACAAGGTGGTGCATAAATGAGTCCTTGTGTATCAATATTTTATTTTCATTCTGTACTCTTACACTGATGAAAAAGTGAAAAGTTTTTATGATGAATAGTAGCTGGATTCTTCCCTGTCAGTGCTAAGTGATCAAATAGAAACCAAGGTTCAAATAAACACAAATACTCCTACAGATAAGTATGATCATTTTCCTGACCTTTTAATGTTATTTATGCCATATGCACATTCAAAAATTATCATTTCCTCTTTTATTTGCAGAACTGAAATTTTGTCTCTCAAAGGACTGGTGCATCATTTTGCGGCTGGAAGCTTGGAAAAGCTCTGACAGACTCAAGTCTCTGCTGTGCTTCTGTGGTGGAGCCTTGGACAGCCGTGGGGTTAAGGTTGTTGGATTCAGAGTTGCTATTCCTCCACTGCATCGGGACAGGTGACAAAGTTTTAGTTGTCAAAAATAATTTGTCCAATAAGAAAGTGCTTTCCTCTATCTTAACCTCTTAATTCATTGTCTGTCTCTGCCAGATATGTGTGTGAGTTAACCCAGACAGAAAATAAAACTTTGTGTATAAGTGATTCATTTTAAAAATTCATTCTTAACATATGTAAAACCAAATTGTTTGAAAGTAACTTTTGCTTATTGGAAAGCCTAGTATCTTAAAATCTCAGGCTTCTTAAAAAAAAAAAAAAGAACCTTTCATTTTAAAGTAGATTTACAGAAAATCTCTAGAAAAGAAAAGTGAAGACAGAACAGAAAGCCCTCATGTACTGCACATCCTGTTTCCCCTGTTATTAACATCTTACAGGAGTGTGGTGCATCTGTTACAGTTAATTAACCAATATTGAGACATTCCTCCTAGCTGAAGTGCATGTGTGCATCATTCAGATTTCTGTAGTTTTTGGCTAATGATGCTTTTCTCTTCCAGGATCCCATCCAGGATCGCACATTCCATGTAGTCACTGCCTCCTTAGGCTCCTCCTGGCTGCGACAGTTTTTCAGATTTCCCTTGTTTCTGATGATCTTGGCAGTTTTGAGGAACACTGGTCAGGTATTTTGTAGAATGTCCCTTGTTTGGGATTTGGCAAATGTCTTCTTTTGGTTAGACTGGGGTTACGTGTTTTCCGGAGGAAGATCACAGAGGGGAAGTGCCACTTTTATCAAATCATATCAAGGGTGCATATCAACATGACTTGTTAGTGTCAATGCTGACCTTGATCCACTGGCTGATGTAGTATGGGTCAGGCTTTTCCACAGTAAAGTTGCTATCTTTATTCCCCTTTTCATTGTTGTATTCTTTGGAAGTAACGATGTACAGTCAACACTTAAAGGGTGGGGAGTCAGCTGGGCAAGGTAGCTCATGCCTGTAATCTTAGCATTTTGAGAGGTCAAAGCAGATGGATCGCTTCAGGCCGTGGAGGTTGAGGTTGCAGTGAGCCAGGATTGCGCCATTGTACTCCAGCCTGGGTAACAGAGTGAGACCCTGTCTCAACAAAAATTAAAAAATAAAAATAAAGAGTGGAAAGTTCTAGTTCACCTTACTGAGGGGAGGGTATCTACATAAGTTGTACAGACTTCTTCTGCACAGGAGGTTTTCTATTCTCCTCCACTTTTAAATTCATTCAGTATTTATTTATATGATTCATGCATATTTATTTTTTATTTTGGGTTACCATCCAATACCACCTTGTTTGGGTTTTTTAAATTGTTCCAGCTTTGGTCATTGAGGAGCACAGTTGGCTCTTGTGTCATTTTGACAAACTCCTACTGTGTGTGTGTGTGTGTGTGTGTGTGTGTGTGTGTTTGAAGCACTTTCTGGCATTACAAGATAATCCTGCCCTTTTTCTTTTGGATAATCCTGTTTTACCTTTTTTTAAAAAAGTTCTGTCCTATGGATATAATTTGGATGTTTGTCCCCTCCAAATCTCATGTTGAAATTGTGATTGCCAATGTTGAAGATGGGGCATGGTGGGAGGTGATTAGATCATGGGGGTGGATCCCTCTTGAGTGGCTTAGTGCCACCCTCTTGGTGATGAGTGAGATCACATTAGATCTGGTTGTTTAAAAGAGCCTGGCACCTCCCTGCATCACTCTTACCATGTGACACGCTGGCTCCCCATCAACTTCTGCCATGACTGTAAGCTTCTGGGGCCTCACTAGAAGCAGCTGTCAGCACCATGCTTCCTATAAGGCCTGAAGAACAGTGAGCCAATTCAACCTCTTTTCTTTGTATACTATGCAGCCTCAGGTATGTCTTTATAGCAATGCAAGAACGACCTAATACACCTATCTTGAGTATTTCCTGCCTCAGCCCTAGAATCAGCCATTTCTTCAAGAAGCTCTGGTTCCTTCTATTGGTAAACAGTGTGAGTCCAAAAGTATCTGAGACACGTCTCAATCAATTTAGAACGTTTATTTTGCCAAACTTAAGGATGCACCAGTGAAACAGCCTCAGGAGGTCCTGATGACATATGTCCCAAGTGGTCAGGGTACAGCTTGCTTTTGTACATTTTAGGGAGACACGAATTTGAAGAAGTCAAAGAGGGGTCTTGCTATGTTGCCCAGGCTGGTCCTGAACTCCTGGTCTCAACCCATTGTCCCACCTCAGCTCCTGAGTAGCTGGGATCACAGGAGGAATTGCCTGTCAAGCCCTGCTGAATACTGAGTCTTTCCATCCCTTTCTCTCTGTGTTCCATACAAATGTTCTACTTAACTCTTCAGCAGACCTGATGGGTGCTAACTTGTTACCTCTCTAGGCTTAACTCATCTCATGAGTCTCACCCATTTCAGCATTTGTCTTTTCCATAGTAGAACTGAATATTTTCCAAAATACAGCATTATACATTAAATATCACACACACAGTACATAGGCAAAGAAACTGTAGTTAGAAGTCACGAGTGCAACAAAGTTTCCCGTTTTAGGGAATGGGAGCTCAAGTGATATTAAATAGATTGGTTGGGAACTGGAAAATATTGAAAATGTCAGATGTACTTCCAAATGAGGGTATGGTATTTGATCCAAAGGCTATATATTGGTTAATTTACTCTGAAGAACTGAAAGTTTATTCAGAATACTCTATTATTCTTTCAAAAAAAAGTGCAAAAGACTTCACAAGGCTGGAAGAGAAGGAGCTGAGACATGGCCTGTTGCTAAAGGGTCTGCAATATTTTACCCTCCTTTTTTTTTAAGAGAAGCAATCTCACAAGGGTGCAACTATCTTCATTATCCTAAAGATATTCCTGTCAAGTGTTACAACCCTGTTTAGCATCTTCTCGACACTTGTGAGGTAAAAGATTCCAAATCTCTGTATGGTCAAAATTATAAGGAGCCTTGTGAAGACTGGTGAGTTCTGCCCTTGCTTGGTAGATGTGGGGCAGTCAGAGCTGCTTTTTGGGAGGATGTCATCTTAGCACCAGGCCTGAAAGAGTCAGTAGAATTTCAACAAACTGAGAAGACAGAGAATGGTGTGCTAAAACAGCCAGCAGCCCAAGCATAGCAAGGAAAGTGCACAGTGTGTTTGGAGAAAATGATTCGTCTGCTGCATGAAACGGAATGGAAGCAATGAAGTCCAGTGCTCTGTGCAGTTAGAAGCCCAGCCTGCAAGATGGGCTCAGACAGAAGCAGAGGGTCGTAGGTCGCTTTCCAGGAGTTACCATCAGACTTTATAACAGCACTAAGCGGGTGCTGTTATACAGCTGTGTGGAGCACATGAATATTATCCTCTCAGGTGTGTTGCTAGCACCTTTGGGGAAGAAAAACTCTATAGCTCGATATGAGTAGTGAATGTTATAAACCCAGAACAAAAGCTGTTCAGATTTGCTGATTGGCAGGGAAGTTCTGGGAGCGTCACATATTCTACACTTTTGTATTTCTTCATAACAATCCCATATGGTTGTTGTTGTTGTTGTTGTTGTCTTTTTGTTTGTTTGTTTTTTGAGACAGAGTCTCATTCTGTCTCCCAGGCTGGAGTACGGTGGCAAGATCTTGGCTCACTGCAAACTCCACCTCCCGGATTCAAGCAGTTCTCTACCTCAACCTCCCTAGTAGCTGAGATTACAGGCAGCCACCATCATGCCCAGATAATTTTTGTACTTTTAGTAGAGATGGGATTTCACCATCTTAGCCAGGCTGGTCTTGAACTCCTGACCTCGTGATCCACCCACCTCAGCCTCCCAAAGTGTTGGAATTACAGGCATGAGCCACCCAGCCTCCCATATCTTATATCACATTTTTCTTTCCATTTTACAGGTGATGAAACTGAGACTCAGAGAGGAAAGCTCATTGGCCCAAAGTAACATAGCAAATAGGTGGTGGAGGCTGGATTCTATGTGCACACCCTTAACTGAATGCTTTCAACCTCATTTTTTTTTCTGTTTTCAAAGTGAGCTACAAACATTCCCATTTTGAAAACTGATGGTGCCACATAAATGAATGTTGAATAAGTCAATGACTGAATACATAGATGGCTGAATTGCAAGAGGCTCCCACTGAAAAGGAACATCCTTTTGGCTCTGAAAGTCTGGAAACACACAGAAGAAAAAAAGGAGAGAGAGGCTCTGTATTTTCACATTTCTGGAAGGCTGCAGAAAAAGGAGTGAATACAAATTTGTAAAAATCTGTATCAAATCTAGCCAAGTGCTGTAATCTCAGCTACTTGGAGGCTGAGGTGAGAGGATCGTTTGATCCCAGGAGTTTGAGGCTGCAATGAGCTACTATCACACCACTGCACTCCAGCCTGGGTGACAAAATGAGACCTCATCTCTTAAAAAAAAAAAAAAAAGTATAAAACTCAATGAAAGATTACCACGGCCAGGTGTAGTGGCTCACACCTGTAATCCCAGCACTTTGGGAGGCCAAGCGGGTGTATCACCTAAGGTCAGGAGTTCGAGACCAGCCTGACCAACATAAAGAAATCCCATTTCTACTAAAAATACAAAATTAGCTGGGCATGGTAGCACATGCCTGTAATCCCAGCTACTCGGGAGGCTGAGGCAGGAGAATTGCTTGAACCCAGGAGGTGGAGGTTGTGGTGAGCCGAGATGGCATTATTGCACTCTACTGGGCAGCAAGAGTGAAATTCTGTCTCAAAAAAAAAAGAAAAAAAAAAAAGAAAAAAAAAGAAAGATTATCAATATGAACTTGCCAATGTTTATTTTAATTTTAATTTGTTTTTAGACAGAGTCTCACTCTATTGCCCAGGCTGGAGTGCAGTGGTGTGATCAAAGCTCACAGCTGCCTCAAAGTCCTGGGCTCAAGCAATCCTCCCACCTCGTCCTTTCAGGTACCTGAAACTATAGGCACGAGCCACCAGGCCTGGCTAATTTTTAACTTTTTGTAGAGACAGGGGCTCACTATGTTGCCCAGGCTTGTCTAGAACTCGTGGACTTAAGTGATCCTCCCACATTCGGCCTCCCAAACACTAAATTATAGGTGTGAGCCATTGTGACTGGCCATTTTCTTTTTCTTTTTCTTTTTTTTGTTTTAGTTACAAAAGGGATGTGAATGTGTGTGATCAGAGCCCAGAGCAACTTTCAAAGGCCTTTGACCATTACTTTTGATTTTTGTTATCCAGTGTGGGACTTTCTCTAGAAATCTGTTTCTAGTGACCTACATAGTCTAAAGTTGTGAATTTCTTTTTCCGTCCTGCAGAGTCTTGTGCCTTTGGGTACGTGATGATGAGGAAGAGCTAGCTGCAAGCCCCATTCCTCAGCAGTACTATTCAGTTCCTATTCATGACAGAATGACACTGAAAGTACAGTGGCTGCATTTGTTTGTTTTTTAAAATTTCCCAGCTCCTAGAACTGACAGTTGCTATATTAATTGCACAAAACTTTGCACTAAGACTAAGAAGATGACTGAATGGAAATTAATCCCACACTGTCAATTCAGTAGTCATGTGAACTCACATCTCAGAAACAGTGGGAAGATAATAGAAAGAATGTCTTTATAGTCATTGCCTTTCTCAGAGCTCTTTTCAATATTTGGTGAATTCTTTTCATATTAATTACTATTTTTTTTCTTGTTTCAGTAAACCTACACACATACTAAATTTAACACGAAATTGCATTAATCATGTGTTCTAAAATTTTCTGCATCTTAGGATGGTTGGCTATCTTAAACATCTTGCTGGCCTCCGGAGAGACTGCCCCTCCCAGGGCTGGCCAGTTCTGGAGATAACAAATAACTCAGCCGGGAGCATGTGTTTTACGTGCAAACTACCCAATCCCAAGTCTACTCCCAGCCTCTCTCCTTTATCTAACTCTTACACACCACGCCAATATCCCCACTGCCCTAAATCCTCCCAGGGCTACCTACCAGACAACTAGAGATGACCCCTGTAGATGAGAGCTGTTGGGAGAGGGAAAGAGACAGAGAGAGAGAGAGTGTGTGTAGTACTATGAAGCTGAACATACCCATATTTTAAAATTTGTGAGAATTTAGCTGTATTTTCAAAGAAAGGAAATGTGCAAAACAATGTAAATAAATTTAACCTGTAAAATTAGTATTTTTGAATAACCCAGTAAAGAAAAGGAAAGATTATTAAAATATATTTGCACAGACCTTTAATGCTTTCCCAAGCCACTGTTGAAAAGTCAAAAGAGGCCGGGCGTGGTGGCTCATGCCTGTAATCCCAGGTGGGTGGATCACTTGAGGTCAGGAGTTTGAGACCAGCAGGGCCAACATGGTGAAACCCCATTTCTACTAAAAATACAAAAATTAGCCGGGCGTGGTGGTGCACACCTGTAATCCTAGCTACTCTGGAGGCTGAGGCAGGAGAATTGCTTGAACTCAGGAGGCAGAGGTTGCAGTGAGCCAAGATTGCGCTATTGCACTCCAGCCTGGGTGACACAGCGAGACTCCATTTCAAAAAAAAAAGTCAAAAGAAACTAAATGTTATTAGTAAAGGTCAAACCTGGAATAGAAAGTATAAAGAAAAGTTGGTGTGTGTGTATGTGTGTGTGTGTGTTATTTTATAAAGGCTTACCTTCAAAGAACCTCAAACGAATAACTATATAACTCTCTCTGTATGCAACTATAACTTTCACTTGCAAAAGTGTACCAGTTTGAACAGTAAATCACCCATTCACCTATCTAAACATCACATGATAAGTAATGTTTAGATAGGTGAATGCATAATTTTAGTACAGGGAATTTTTAGAATCTTTTTAGCACATAATTAGATAAGCATGTATGGAAAGTATGTTGTTATAAAGAGTTTACCCTGAAGGACCCATAGTAAGTCCTCTAAACCAGTGCTTAATCTAATTAGTTCTTGTAGCTAACGACAAATCACATAGTTTTATAAATTACCAGTGGTCACTAAAAATTATTACTATCACCAAGCCTGTTTTCTTGATTTTACCTATAGGTTGATTTTAGTGCATTTGAGCTACAATCATATTTTATTATCTAGAAAATGCCTTGAAGACATCTGTGGACCTACAGACTTCCAGAGCTACTTTCTGCATACAAAGGAGGCATGAACAGGGCTTTCTACTCAGAAGTGGACTAAGGTGAATCCATCCAACCAACATCTGTCATAGTTCTTTGTGTCCCAAACACCTCATATATGTTGAAATTAGCTGATTTCATGATTCAGAATAGATCCGGTCTTCAACCTCAAAGTTGTCCAGTGCATCCCCAGTTCAACCTCAGAAGAACCTTTCAGAAGCCCACCAGCTCATGAAACATTCCTTCTGGGGGTCTCTGGTGGGCACAGAATAAGCCCCCCTTCCCCTCAGGGTCTGCCTGTCTGCCCCTTAACCTGTTCTCCTGCTCCTCCATTCCGGGTTCCCTCCATCTAAGGCAAACTGCCCAGGGCACCTGCCCAGCATGGAAAGTTTGGTCTTCAGGGTCTTGACTTTTTACCAGCATCTCTGAAGCCCCAAAGTCATATAAGAATTTATTTGACTGAAAATTATTTGAGAACTTTATGTGTTAATTTTCCTTATAAAGTGAAAGTTGATCACTTTCTTTTCCCATATTTCCTTTGCCCAGACACAACTTACTGTTACTCTGTTTTCAATATCGAAGCAGGAAATGGAATTCACTGTGAGCCTGCCCCAGTGCTATTCAGACTCATTCTATTCAGGGAGCAACTTCACTCCATAATTTGTGTAGATACAGTTACTTACCCACCCCCTCCCTAGTGCATAACTCCCCAAACACACCCACAGACTTCTTCCCCTAGGGAACTACTCAGTGGTGTGTCTCCCTTTACCAGTCAAGTGCACACAATCAGTGCATGCTGTGCTGGTCAATGTGGTGATCTTTTTCCCTCTTTTAACCTGGGGAAGAGAGTTTATGGCAGAAATCACAGCTTTAATCCACACATCTTCATGTACCAACTTCAATGTTCTATAAGACAGAGAACAGAATGGGTCCAGCGATTCCTCCTGAGCAGTTGTCACGGAAATCTCTTGCTCTCCTTTGGGAAGATGACTTTCACTCTTAATGATGCATCAGTACTCACCATTATTACATGGACTGGTGAACGAGAACTTGTTATCTGCCAGCACTGTGCTGTGCTTCACTCAAGCTGGTTAATTCCTGCACTCTTCTGTGTTACTGAACGATTTTTCTTTTCTTCTGAATGGCAGTTTTTAAACGTAGGACTACTGTTTCTTCATCATTTGAGTTTGGGAATTAGGTCTCAAATGAGGCAGCTTATGAAACCTGCTTTGGAGGTCAGGGGTCTTCTCTATAGTGGAAAACATCTACCTGACCCTTTTCGGGCCCCAAACTCCTCTCCAGGGTGTAGTGAATGCATGGCACTGGGCATCCCTCCTGTAAATGGAGGAGCTTAGATCTCTGGAGGAAACTTCTGGGCTAGTATGTGGCTACCACGAAAATGGCTACAAGTGGGAATAAAAGGGCTTTGATCACCTAGTCTTGAGTTCCAGGCAGTTTTTCTGGGCCATGCCACTGATCAAGCATGGTGACATCGAAGGAAGGTATTCTCCTTTTTTTCTTTTTTGAAAGTGTCTCGCTTTGTCGCCCAGGCTGGAGTGCAGTGGTGCAATCATGGATCTTTGCAGCCTCCGCCTCCTGGGCTCAAGAGATCCTTCCACCTCAGCCTCCAGCATAGCTGGGACTGCAGTGCGCACCACCATACCTGGCTAATTTTTGTATTTTTTATAGAGATGGGGTTTCACCATGTTGTCCAGGCTGGTCTTGAACTCCTGGCCTCAAGTGATCCACCCGCCTTGGCCTCCCAAAGTTCTAGGATTACAAGGGTGAGCCACTGCTCCCAGTCTGGTATCTTCTTTTGTACTTTTCAGAAGAACTCAAAATGGATGAGTTGGCATAAAACTGCATCTGCTGCTCTAGTGCCAGTGAATAGGCCATGAAGCTTGTGGCTCGGATGGAACTTTAGCTTTGTGACCTGCCGGGTATTCAGAAAACAGCCACAGATAGCTTAGGGGTTCAAGACAGCAATGGTGTGTGAACCACCATGGGTCAAGAGGAGCAGTTGATTGGATCTGATCTCCGCTGGCCCCCCAGGGCTTTCGTGCAGACATAGCTGGCAGCCAGATGGTGGCGCTGTGGGCGCAGGCCCTTTCACTAGGGTACAGACGGCTGCGGTTGAAGAGTCTACCTACAGGGGAGCGTGGAGTTCTGCTCCCCCCGTGGGCAACAGGCAAGCCACACGGAGGGCCAAGTCTTCAACAAATGTTGGTAACATTTGTGGTACTGAGGGTTGAGAGCTAGGGGAATTCTTAAAAACTATTAGGGGATTCTCTCTTGCTAGTGAAACAGATGGGAAGCCGAGGAGCTACTGCACTTTGGACATTGACTTTAGTTTTAATCACAGACTGTTAAGGCTGGGACATATTTTTCTTTAACTTTTAGACTCAGGGGGTGCATGTGCAGGTTTGTTGTATAGGAAAACTTGTGTCACAGGGTTTTGTTGTACACATTATTTCATCACCCAGGTACTAAGCCTAGTGCCCAATAGTTATTTTTTCTGCTCCTCCTTCTGCTTCCCACCCTCCCCCCTCAAGAAGGACACAGTGTCTGTTGTTTCCCTCTTTGTGTCCATGTGTTCTCATTATTTAGCTCAGACTTATAAAGAGAACATGGGATATTTAGTTTTCTGTTCCCGTGTTAGTTTGCTGAAGATAATGGCCTCCAGCTCCATCCAAGCAATAATCACAATGTAGGACATCTTTAAGGAACAAAGGTAAAAGTTTCTGGAGGTTGAATGACCAATTCCACTAAACTGTCACAGTTTGAAAATTGCCAGAATGCTCTCTCCTTCAGTATATGGTTTATGCCTCAAGTTTAAAGGAATGATTTCTATTGTCTATGAATACAGCTGGAAAAAAACCCAAAAAACAAAAAACAAAACCCAGTCAAAATATCTCTCTCTTTTGGAATGGCAGTGTTCACAAGCCCCTCTTGCCCAGCTACACAAAGTAGCTAGACGCCATGCACCTGGTCCCACAATGTTGAGACATGTAGTGATTTATGATCATAATAAATTAGTGTTTCCCAAAACTTACTCTGTGGAACCTTGAGTCAAATAACTTTGGGAACTTTGCCAACTGTATCTTCTTAATTATTGCGAAAGTTGTCAGAATCCAAATGGAGTCATGAATATTAAGAAAACCCTGACAAATGGAGCCAGCAAAAACCGTAAAGAAGGGATTCTGACACTTGTGTGCCTGATGATGAAAAAGACTATACAAAAACCACAACCTGGCACACAACCCATTGCAACTGTACAAAAAATATATACAAGAATATCTGCCCAGCAACTGCCTGTCCAAACTTGTACTGGTGTCACCCTTGTCATTGATCTTTGTAACCAAAGGTAAGTATTTCAAAAACAATTATGTAGTCCTCATTTTTTTCTTTAGAAATCTTTGCCTTTTACCTCCCTGACACATATATTAATAGGGTATGTGTGTTCCCATTGCAATGTTCTATTCCCTAATAAATATCTTCTTTTAGAGAGCCTCTCTCTGTTATTTAGCTTGGAAATATTCATAACACTTGTGAGCCTATTTCATAGCTCCGAGAAGTTAGATGATAATGTGCCTTTACATCTTGTTTAGTCAATAATTTGCCCAAATTATTTGATCTTGAAATGTTACTTTAGCAAGATACCTATTAACAGTTTGTATAAACCTGTCTGATATAGTGTAGGAGTTATTTTTTTTTTTTTTAATTCGTCACATCTCTTAATGCTGATATGAGAAACTTTAAGCAGTACTTTTGGTGCCAAGATAGTGAGCATAATGCTCTAAGACATTGAGAACACACAAGAAGCAACAAAGTTTGGGAACTGGTAATATGAATTGTTAAAAGATCAATAGACTGTGGAATTCTAGGCTGCTCTCTGGAATGTAGACTAACCCACTGACCATCTGGTAGATTAGGAGGCAGATGAAACCAAGGATGTCCTCCTGGGCCTATGAAAATAAGGAACAAGCAGGGATTAGGAAAGCTGAAAATGAAGTTCAGAAGGGGTGAGAAAGCAGGAAAGGCCAAGAGATAATAGACTGTAAACAAAGAAGAAAATGTCAAAGTTAAAGATGGTGGAGGTGGAGAAGGTCTAAGCAGTAGATGGCTGTCCTCTATTTCTGGGTGGATGAAGTGGAGTGGAGATGAAGATTTCTTGGCAGCTGTGACAATGTGCAAGGAGGGTCTTGAAGAATTAGCAGCGAGGAGAGTAGCAAGCACAGGCTGAGGAGGTTCCTGGGACTCAAATGATAGGGCTTCTAAGGAATAATAATCATGACACAATTTATGCCACATCCCTCAGCCCTCACCACTGCAGTGCACCCCAAAAGCCCAGAAAGAGCCTGTCCAGGTGCAGGGCAGGCTGGAACTGCTGGGGAGCTAACTCCCCCAAAACTTTCCCCAGCAGCAGCCTGGCTTCCGTGCATCTCAGGTAGGGCAACTGTGAGATGTGTGCTTTTTGCTTTCTTTAGAAAGAGTTTTCTTGAAGGAGGAAACCCCAGGTGCCCACATAGAATGTATGTGCTGCCCTTTAAGTCCTGCTTTCCATTCTAGCACCACTTCTTCCCTTCCCCAGCAGGTGTTTCCAGCCCCTTCCACAGAAGCTACTTGTGTTGTTAGTGCGCCAGTTCGGGTTCTTGACTTCGTGGCACAAAATAATTTGAGAGTGTGGTCAGCGCAGTGGCTCATGCCTGTAATTCTAGCACTTTGTGGGGCCAAGGCAGGAAGATTGCTTGACCCTAGGAGTTCAAGACCAGCCTGAGTGAGATCCCATCTCTATAAAAATAAATAAAATAAAAAAGAAATAAATAAAAAAAATTGAGAGTGAGTTCAAAGTGAAAGTAGGTAAAGAAGTTTATTGCAAAGTGAAAGTAACTCTGATAGCTGGATGCTTGAGAAGGAGACAGCGCCATCTGGTACTGAAGTACTACCCATTATGGGAGATGTGCATGATTATTCAAAGGGGTGGGAAGGGGTGTTGCTGTTGAGCATGTTGCAGATGGTTTCCCAAGCCTGCACGTGTGGTGGCCATACAGGCTAGTACATATATCGCATGTCTCATTAGCATATTAATTCTCCACCCAAGGGTGTATTTTTTACTATTATAATGAACACAGGTCAGCTCAAGGACACTAATGTTGGGTTTCTGCGTTCATGTGAATTTGTGAGTTTTCCCATCTGCCCTTTTACCTCCTGACTGTAGGATGTTCTAAGCGTGAGCCCAGGATGTGGTTTGTGCACTGTCAGGCAGTTTGTCTCTCCATCAATTTGGTAAGTTTGTTCTTGCTTGAGGGAGGCTATGAGCATCCTATCTAACCTACCTCACTTGCATTTGAATTCTTGTCTCAGTCTGCATGTGGGGAACCCAAACTAATTCACAAACATCATATCATTTGGCCATGAAGATTACTCTAAAGGATGGTAGAATAATATTATTTCCCCTTTTATTTTATTTTGTTATTATTATTTTTGAGAGGGAGTCTCGCTCTGTTGCCCAGGCTGGAGTGCAGTGATGCCATCTTGGCTCACTGCAACCTCCACCTCCCAGGTTCAAGTAATTCTCATGCCTCAGCCTCCCAAGTAGCTGGGACTATAGGTGTGCGCCACCACACCGAGCTAATTTTTGTATTTTTAGTAGAGATGAGGTCTTACGATGTTAGCCAGGCTTGTCTCGAACCCCTGACCTCAAGTGATCTGCCTGCCTCAGCCTCCCGAAGTGCTGGGATTACAGGCATGAGCCACAGCGCTAGGCCTGTTTCCCCTTTTAAAAAGGAAACAGGTTGTACATTTTTCAAAGCCACCCACGTAGTAAGAAGCTGAGCCAAGAGATGAACTAGCCTTCCGACTTCAAGCTCTGTGTTCTCATCCCTACAACCTGAATCCCTATATTCAAGATGTGTTACTGTTCACAAGGTTGGTAGATTATCATGAGGATGGAGAGAGGAAAGTATATATTGATGTGTGAATATTGATGTGAGAGTGTGATAGGGAAACAATGCCTGAGATGAAACATAGGCATTATCAGTACAAGGGAAGAAGGTACAGTGCAATGGATTAACCTAAATCAAAGGTGATCCAGGACTATTGAAGACCATATGTTAACCAAGGTGATAAGTCAAAAGGGTAAAAGACCAAAGACAGAGATAAGTTTATTCATTGTAGAAAGTGGATTTGGGGCTAGGCACTCTGGCTCACGCCTGTAATCCCAACACTTTGGGAGGCCAAGGCGGGAGGATCACCTGAGGTCGGGAGTTTTCGAACAGCCTGACCAACAGGGAGAAACGCTGTCTCTACTAAAAATACAAAAGTAGCCAGGTTGGTGGCGCATGCCTGTAATCCCAGCTACACCGAAGGCTGAGGCAGGAGAATCGCTTGAACCCGGGAGGTGAAGGTTGCAGTGAGCTGAGACGGCGCCATTGCACTCCTACCTGGGCAACAAGAGCGAAACTCCGTCTCAGAAAAAAAAAAAAAAAAAAGTGGATTTGGTAGGAACCAAAGGATGTCTGAAAATATCTTTTTTTATTGGCACATAATAACCATACACATATATGGGGTAC